AAAAAAAATAGTTAATACACCAAACATCTGGGGTGAATGTATCAATCTCGTCTAAATCGGGTGCGCTTTCAAAACAGAAAATCAGCTTCCTGTCTCCCGAAGCGAGCTGATTTTCTGTTGTAAAAGCGTACCCGATCTCGACAGGAGATTGATACATTCCATCCCTGCTTGTTTATGATAACCTTTGGGACTCCAAAATTTACTGGACTTCTTTGTCAGAACCAAGTATGAATTTTAGGCAGAGTTGAATTTATAATATGCATTTGTTTTGGTATTAAAGTGCCTTTTCTCTAGAGACTTTAGTCTAAGATGACTGCGAATCTACAATATTCTCACCGATTTGGAGATAATCTGCACCAATCCCGAACCCATAATATTCCCGTCCACTGCACATTCGTATTTCCCTTCATCCTCCTCCATCAAAGGCCAAATGTCTGAAATTTGCACCTATTACGGTTTTGAAGCAATAATGGTTGTGGGTGGGTAGGAAAAAAAGAGCAACTCAATATTCCTTCCGCTGACACAGTTATTCTCCATTCCAATTTTTGATTCTGGACCAGATTGCTGTTTTTATACCAAGCGACTTTAGTTTCTGTCTAAAACAATATCCTTTCTTTAGGCAGTTCTCATAACCTGCGGTTCTGACTGTGGATACAATAAACAGAATCAAAAAGCGCACTCATAGTCCACTTCTGCAATACCCTAAAAGAGTTGAGTGGAGCTCCTTACGTAATTTCCCCATGATTTCCTCATTTCTTCGTTGCACGTAAAGGAGAGGCTTACACCAGTCAAGAGTTCGTGCGAAGGATGATTATCGTCCAAATCAATCTCAACGCTCTTCATTTCACCTGGTGGACAGAATGTTTCAAAGTTTTTACTTCATATGATTATGTAATTAAGATTAACTTGCTGAAAATTTTGCCATGATTACCGCATGGATCTCGCAAAGGCTCACTTGGATGTCCTATTTGCGGGAAGAAAAGTAGTTACGAAAGGTCTTACGGCAAAAAATGTTTCAGGATAAAGCCCCTAAGTATTCTCGCGCAGTTGTTCACTATAAATGAGAAGACCTTCGAAAAATTCTGTAATGTGAATCACCCTCTGCTTTAAGAGATGCTCTAGAGGAAATCTTCAAGATTGTCCTTAACCCTTGACCGCCGCGCATAACTCAATGTCTGGCGCATGGGACCAACGTGCTTTTTTTGTGGATTTTTCACTGACCATTGCTTCTACTAGTTTATGGAGTAATTTACCTGTTCATCTGTAAAATATATAAAAAGTTTATAATAGTTCAAAATGGAACAAAACAAGAGACCGCACCCGTTGAACATTAAAAATCTATGAAAAGTGCATTATGGAACGAGGCATGCGCTTAGAAAAACCCACGCATTCAAAGTTGACCCAGTCGTAGGTGGCGCATTTGTCAAAGGTTAAAGATAAACTTTGGAGCCGTCTTCTTTGAGATACGTCAACGCCTCTAACTACAACAGCGAAAAGTCATCCGCATGATTTCTGAGCGAAATGAGCACTGCTACGTCTGCGTCTTTCCTTCACACATCATGTCGCCGCAACTGCTCAAATCCTGTTTAACCCACTACAAGTCCTTCTTCATTTGCTGTGAGTGTAAGATTAGCGCGACACATCTAAGGTGCAAATTGAAATGCGTCGCGGCGTTTCAAAATTACGTCACAGCCTCCACGACCAAAGAGCCAAATAGTTGAGAGGACTGTCCAACCCAATTAAGTAATTATCATGCAGTAAGTAAGAATGGAAAAACTACAGTATTCCCCTATTTCTGTGCTTTCTTTTAAGCGTGAAGAAAAGCAGAAGTGCCATTAACTTATAAGCGTTTTTCGACATTTGTCTGTTGCCTTCAATTCATAAGTAAGGCCTTCATCACACCACCCATTAAGTTCAAAATTCAGACTCCGTTGTGTGAAAACGCTTTCCGCTGTAGCGTGCCATTTACGGACCTCTTCTGCGCAAACTGAGAATCGCCAAAACAAACCCTGTGAGAAGACCGTTAAGTGATTGCTGTTGTAAAGGAGCATAGCATCTCTTTATCGTTGCACTGCACCCGGAAAAATTTTCGAATAAAAGGGTGTCGAATGTTCTTTCGTGAGACCCTAAGTAATATGCTCATTAGAGTTGCGAGGTCGTTACTTTGATGCCTACTCATTCTAAGCCTATGGAAAATGAAGCCATGCCAGACTCAATTGGCGACTACATAAGATATTTGAAAAAATTACGGCGATACATCGTTATAACCTAGGGAGAATGCGCTCATAATAGCTCGCTTGGTTCGAATGCTCAAGATTGGTTTCTTCTTTTTGCGATGCAAACGCTCCAATAACCATGGAGGTAAGAAACTTTTCCTTGTTGTTCCGGGAGCGAGGGTCCTAGAAAGAAAATTCGTTGTTAATCCAACGTCGAAAAGTAGCAAAGGGGACTAACGTGGTGGACGGAACTAGAGGGCATCTACCTTCAGCTACCCTAGCTGCTCTTTCATCTGGACGCAGCCAGTTGCATTCAATGTCGTATTGGAATTTATTTGCGTCTTTCAACCATTCCTTTGCTCTTTTTGCCTTCTCTATGAGCATCTATAGTGAACAAGCACTGCTTTTCTATCGCTGTGATACAAGGCCTCGATGATTGGGCACACCTCACTGAGGCTTGCTTCAACGACAAGTTTATCACTCAAGGAAGCGATAGCGATCAAGATGATGGGGGAGGCGTTCATCATTGCCACAGCTGGGTTAAAAATGAGTCATGCTAAGCGCTTAGGTGTTAAACATTATCTGGGAAAAAACTTGTCCAGATACTCTGACCGGTCAAAACGCTAGTTTCAAAGCTCCTACTGGGCAAGTGAACATTGATTTGCGGATGACGGACTTGGCGAGGGCTGTCTTTAAATGTGGGAAGAGGTGTCACAATGGCGATTACCGGATGAGCAGGTGAGCACCAGCCGACTACCGGATGAGCACCAGGCGAGAGGGGGCTATCGGGCGATCAACGGTTGAAATCGGGGTGTGACGTCCGCCTTGCTTGGCGGGGATTGTAATCAGCGCACCGCTAGAGCCTTTGTGAGCCTGTGTGGTGAGAGCTACTGAGACAATGGGAACA